GTTTAAAAAAACCTCCTGATCTGCACTAAGACTTTTTTCTGTTATTTCAAACAACTCTACCACTAGTGGTAACACTGTGACATCTCAAATTTACTTAAAGGTGATCATCAGCCATTATTTCAACAACTGCCATCCAAAAGAGGTTAGATGGCTTCTGTATGAAATGCTAATCACTACCTGGAGTCTTATCTGCTTTTGCCTTGCTTCCTCCTTCCATTTGAACAACTTGGGGGGAGAAATAGCTGGGAATTTTACCAGAAAAGTCTGCACTGTGCGTACAATCTCTGCCATCAATCTTGCGCTCTTACATTAGGCATGGGGTTACTGCTGGAAACAGGTAGCCTATTGCTTCCTAAAGTTTTTGTATCTTTTTACTACATCGCTAATAATAGCATTGTTATTGGTGGTAGTAGTAGTAATAATACTGCAATGTGTTGCAGGGCATCCATTGAGCTTAGTGTTCTCTAAAAAGTCAATGAGAAATAGCCATTCCCAAGAAGATCTTATGGTCTTCCTGATCTGTATTTACAAACAGCAGGAAATGGCTGTTACGTCCACTGTGAATCCAGTCTTCTAAGAAACACATACACTTTATAACACAAAACCCACAATTACACTGTAATTACACTGGAGTTACATTGTTAACATAAGATTTCCACTAGTCTGTATAATGAAGTACTTCACGGACAGTCCAACAATAATTACAGTGTAAAATAACATAATCAATATACCTGCATTTAAAAATATACAGTCAGATCCTCTGCTGAGTTAAGTCATTATCTCTCTGATGATATCAATCTGGTTGCTGTGCATTAAAAAACAAATCATGGGAGCAATAATATCTCAATTATGTAGTTAACCTTCTGGTTATATTAATTAGTGATGATTAGGCATGGGAAACCATAATTATGTCACGTACATAACATCCCTTTGAAATTACATCATGAATTCAAACACAAAAGGCAGATGTGAACATCTAACCAGGTTCATTTCTGATGTCTAGAACAAAACTGAAACTCAGTGATTTGACCCTACATCTCCTGTCTGAAACACAGCCAAAGATGATAGTTCTGCTGGTGTCAAACCTGCAAAAAAACCTGCAGTTTGTATTTGTCTCACAAGAGAAATATAAGGTAGAACTGTCCCATATACAAAAAATTTTACATGGTGGTTGATAAAACCCGTCTTAAAAAAAAAAAAAAAAAAAAAAGTCATAGAAACCATCCAGGTCCACTTCAGTTCTGAAAGGAGGCAGCACTGAAACTAAAGAAGCACATTTTCTCTAACTCACCACCTTTAGCCATTTGTCTGGGGTATGAACAGCTAAAAATCAACATTTTGATTTGAGCAACTTCTTGCTCCTGTTTGCAGGAGATCCTGGCAGCCAGAGTGTTTTTTGCACAGGACCTTTCTGAGGAGTTGCTCGTCACTGGCTCCAAAAACACAGTGTTTGACATTGTACTGGGGAAACTGCTTTTCCTGAGGCAGCTGTCCAAGAAGACCATTACACTGGGAAGAGGGAGCCAGAGCAAGCAGGATTTTCCACCACTGTCATCGTGCCTAACTTAAGACTGAAGTTTTTCACCGTTAAGGATAAAGAAAAGAAAAGCCAATCTGAGCTAGCATTCTTCCCCCAGTATATCAGATATGCTTTATCCCAGCAGACCATTCCCTTACAGCTGGACTACAATAAATGATTAATGTGTAGGTCATTCAGTCCAAGTTTAGAAAAATATTAAACATTTCATTTTTATATGGACTTCTATCACCTACTAAAACCCACAGATGCTCTGCATTGGAATAGGAATTATGGACCTAAACACTTGCACAGGTCCAGGGTTATTCCTTGCATTCAGATGGCAGCACCCCGCTGTCTCTGCAGGCAAAAGGACAAGTGCAGAAGTACACCATGGAATTTCCATTAAAATTAATCCTTTGAAAAGTGAATGTCAGAAGAAACCGTGTATTTTCAGCCAAACAAATATATTTTTAATGGACAGTTTGCAAATGTCAGGTTGAAGTGTTCCAAAGTCAGGAGCTGCCAGAATTAAGGTTGCCTGTGTATCCAGCAAAGCATTTCACCTGCAGGCACTTTGTGGCTGTTATGGCTCGGCTTTCCTTTTATTTTTTTAATCTAAGTAACTTGACTTTGAAAGACTGACTTGCAAATCTGGCATTTGTAATTCTGGGAAATCCCTCTTTGCACACTTTTTCATCTATATTCACTCAATTATTATTTGATGTATTGTTTGCTTTCTGCTGTGCTAGCAGCAAGGAACACTGGTACAACATGTGTCGGGTATTGACCCACAGAAATCATACTCTTGGGTCTTCAGTGGAGCTTCTCTAAGGTGTCAGATCAGTTCACGGCAGACTAGGTTCAACAGAAGGTCCTGCGCTGTGAGGAGCCCAGGTCTGTGAGGCCCCGGATACATCATGGGCAGAGCAAAGCCTCATTAGCTGGCACTGCTGCTAAAGGACCTGAAGGCACTTTGCAGGATGTAAACTGGTATGACTTTGGTAAGACATCCTTCCTGTCTTTCAGTTCACCAAACTGTAAAACTGCTGCCTAATATTTACCAGCAGCAGTTCCCAGGTGTTGTAAGCTGTTCTCTAATGATATTTCCAATTCAGTCTGAGATTCCTGAATGAAATTTTTGTAAAAGGATTACTTAAATGTATTCTTTTTCACCCTGAAGTTCATTTAATACGATGTTATACAAGCAATCCTTGCAAATATCTCACTTGGATTTTTTTTTCTTTTCTTTTGCTCTTGGCAGTGGCTGTGACAAAAATGAAAGCGCAAAACACACTAGAAAGTTTTCCTCATTACTTTTCCTCAGACAACAAACAAACTCCCAGATTACCACCGTCCTAGGTGGGAAACTGAGCCACCCTACGTTCAGAAACTCCCACTCCTGTCTCATCCTGGGGCTGCAGCGTGTTATAAATTGAGGGCAATGCTACTGCCATTTCGGTTGGCACTTGTGGCCTGTATAGATGACGATGCTTTTGAGGTCAGCCTAAAGCTGGACTTCACCTCTGCTTTGGGTGTCCTTGGGAGTGATAAATTTGGGACCTGTCAAGAACGCAGTATGGGCCACCCATATCTACAGCTGTCTAAACAGGGACACCAGCAGAGGAATAAACAATTGAGAGAAGGTGCTTTTCATCAATTCAGTGCTTTTTTTTGCCTTTATTTCAACTTGCTGGACAAGCAAGGTGGTGCCATTTGGCCCCACTCTTTAATATGCACCTCCTGACACCCAACAAAAAGGTTGCCATAATCTGATAACAAGCATGAGCCTCCCCTTCCCCACTGTCATCCTTTTCTCCATTCTGCCACGCAGATCTCTTTTTCCTAAGCCTACACCCCTCACCCAGGTCAGGATCCAACTCTGTCACAACCTGGCATGTTCTCTGCTCCCCCTGCTGACCTCTCCACCTTCTCAACACTTTCCATCAAACCCAATTACACTGCAGAGCTATGCACAGCGTCTGAAGAGCTGGCATAGGGAAGACCATGCCAGGGGCCATTGTTGCAATTTAGCAGTGCAGATGATTGAATTAGAGGCTTTGGCATGGCTTTGTTTGTCGGTATTAATTAGGCTGAACCAATCATGCAATTTCTTGAGGTCTTTTTCCTCACTCCTCCCTTTCCCTTCTGGAATCTTGACCATCCACTCCACCCCACTCCTTCCCACCTCGACCAGCTGCTCCAGAGATGCTGGGTGCGGGATTGGAGAGGCCACAGCTCAGCCTCCTTGGTTAGTGACACGGATACATTATCAGTGGACAGACAAAATACGAGGCAGTGTGTTGGGGGATGCAAACATCTACAGGATTTTTCTTCAGGGAAAAAATAAGAAAATGCAGGTTTTGGGATCTTGAGGTTTTTAAGAAACAGACCCTTATTAAGATCCTTCTCCAAAACTTGACTCTGGCTTGTGGCTTTGCATATTTAGTTATTTCTCACCATAGCACAGGACTTGGGCTTGAGTACTAGAAGCATGCATGGAATTTAAGAAAAGAAGTGTAAAGATGCAGAAGTCTGTTGACAGGTAAGATTTCCTGCCACCAAAGAGCCAGCTTGAAGGTTTCTGCATCTGGGCTGCCACTGCTGAGATTTTGCATAGAGTCATTGCTGGGGTTCAGACTCGTGATATGTCGGAACTCTGACAAACTTGGATGTGATTGCACTCAACAACGCTGCCTCAGCAAGCCGTTTTGGGCACATTTCCCTCTTCCTTTCCAATGTACCTTTCCAGAAAATTCATTAACCACACAGATGCACAATAAGTGCTCGGAACAGAAATGAGAACAGAAGGAACAAAATCAATTCTTCTGCTATAAGAGCTGGGGTTTATGCTTGCTCTTCGTTTGCACCTTCCCCTGCCCGGGTGCAACACCAAGGAAATCTTTGCAGTTGATCTGGGACTTCACAAACCGAGGGATTACATGCTACAGATACTGACAGGCCGCTTTGCTTACAGCCTGGCAAACACCACAACAGTAATCTCCTCTCTGAGATAAAGTCCATCAATCTTATTCTTACACCAACTGTTTCCCCTCTGCCCCTCAGACAAAGCTGGAAGAGCAGCCCTCCTCGGGAAGGATGCTAAAATCTTTCCTTCCTCAGCACCCTCCTGTTTTAACTTGGGCTTTCAGCTGGCATCCCATCAAAGTCAAGTCAACACATATCCATTTTCTGTGCTGAGCTGACTAGTTTTCAATAACAATTTCTCCTTCATTTTGTAACACAGATAAACAAAACTGCCCCTCATTGGCCAAGATTCCAGCAATGTCATTTTCTCTCTATTGTTGCTACTGCATTGCTTTTTTTCCCCTTTTTTTTTCAGCTAGGCACAGATCAATTTAACAAGGCGAAAACAACTTAGACTTTCACTCCAGGTAAAATCAGCACTTTATAACCCAGGATGTAATTTACAATCCTGTCATTAAGCTCTGTTAATCCTATTATTATGAAGATAAATAATTACCCATAGCGAAGAAAGGGATTCCCAACAGAGTAGAATTATATTTTCCATCAGTAATGAAAAATATCCCTGCCGCAGTGACACTGGAAATACAGATAGTGAGTACTCCCAAGAGTCCCAGGAAAGGTTTGCTACGCAGGCAGTCCTTCATGGAGCTCGAGAGGGTAGCAGTCAGGAGAATCAGCATCAGGCTCACCAAAATCTTGCCCCTGGCCAAGAGACTGGTCTGGTGGAAGTCCTTCCAGAGGCTAAAGGACGCTAGGGAGTAGAGCTGCAGATCTTGGTGATCCAGCTGCATCTTGTGCATCAGTTTACAGAATTCACTCTCCCACTTCTCCCCAATGAGGTCCTGGGTGACAGAGCCATATGTTTGGAGGTAGTAAGTGATTTGGATGGCTCTGGCTGATTTGACTCTCTGGTCCTTGCTGTTTGGAACTTCCATGACCCCTCCGAGTTGGTGGCCAATAAAACTGCTCCTTCCATCCTGGGAGGGAAAGTAAAAAAGATGAGCATGTGGTTATCCTGCATGAGATGTGATACAGTGATACCATTTGACTCTATCTTCCTTGCACAGACATGCCAAGAGCCCTACTCAAAGGCCACTGTGGTCAACAGCAGTCATGCCATTCACTTCAGTGGGCTTTGGGACGCATTCCTGTTCCCTGCCACAACTCTGTTCCTCACTCATTATAGACTCATTTGCAATTCTGTGCTGCGGTTCAGCGACTGCCCAGATACTCATTACGGTCCCAGATGTTCGGGGACTGAAATGTAGCATGCAAACTCCTCACCACGCAGGAGAGGACCGCTTTCCGACAGTTTATATGTGACAGACAACAACAAATCTCCAGTTACTGAAGTATGAAATGTTTAAGATGAAGATCAATTTCTGGAAGATTTGTGATTTCCTGACACTTTGGAAATGCTTTTGAAAAGTTGGAAATGTACAGAAAATGAGGTCTTGCTCCTCAGTACAGAGATGTAAACATAGACAGATCTAGTTTAATAGCTAGTCTGGCTCTAGAACAATATAATTAAAATCAGACTTTTTGAACTGCTTATTTGAAGTTTAATGGATTTCTACCAGTGACACAGAGAGAAGAATCTACCTTGCATCTCAATTTAGCCAGGATTTGTTTTTTTATATTTCAAGAATATAAACCTTACTCTGGTCTCACTTAGTTCAGTGTATGCTAGGACATAAAATCTCCATGACAATCAGTTAAGGACACATCAAGTGCACTCAGAATCAGCCTCCAGCTATTTACAAGACCAGACTTCTTTTTGTAGAGTTAACTGGTCCCATTTAGATTTTTTACTCTTTGTTGTAATAAAGGTTTTGTAAGAAAAGTCCTTGCTTTTTAGCCACTGGCTATTCCAGTTCTCTAGAGTAACTGTGATGTGCCCCTTTCAAGATAGAAGAAGCTTGCATGGATTCAGAAGATCAAACCCAGTTGCAAACTGAGGAAGACAACTCAGTACATTGGATAAAAATGTCCTAGCGCAAGTAATCTCTTTGATCAAAAACTCTAAACCCAGGGATTAAATGTCTGTTGCACACCAAAAAACATTTTGCTTTTTTGTGTGTTTAAGTGAGATTAAAAGTTCTCAGATTTCTTGCCTCTTATATTTAATAAAAACATAAAATTATCAAACCAGTTGATACATAAAATATCTTGCAGCAGTGAGTTCGTGTGAGATAATACTCTTTGCCTAGACGCGCTATGGGAATGAGCTGACAGTCTGAATTTGGGAGCTGCTCTACACACACACACATGGAAGCAGCCACCTGCAAAAGGCCTGAAGCATTTGGGGGAGACACTTTTAACATCTATTACTTCCAGCATTAACCATTTCAAGAAACACTTGTGCGGCGCACAGGTCGTTATCTGAAATTGCCAGACCTGCTCGTTGTAATGATTCACATCCTAAGGAAAAATCAATGAAGCAAAGTACCAGGCTTTACGAAACATAGATATCTTCCGGCATGCCTGCTCATAGAGCAAATAAACAGCAGAAATTGAGAGACAGCACTGAAAATGCTTTGTATACTCACCTTGTCTCGTCTGTGGTGTGTACAGGAGGTGATCCTCCCACTGCGAAATTTCTGCCTATGCCTGCTTTCATGGCAGGAGCTCAGACTGTTTTCAGCATTTGCCCACCACAGCCCAGGGAACATGACAAAGTGCTTTTCAGAAGTTCATTTTTTCCCTATTCCCAGTTGTTATTTCCCATTGAAATAATGGCTTCTGGCGAGGCATCCTGGCACGAGCTGACGTGACAGGTGATTTCAGTCTAATGCCAGCTTCTCAAAGCACCTGAAGCCTCATTGCAAATGTCATATGAGCAGAGACAGCTAGCACAGAGGGGCAGCTGGTGCTCTTTGGACTCCAAAAACTTCTCATCTCCGGCATTTCCTGTTAGAATCCTGTTTTGATTCATTATTTCTATTCTTTTTTCTAAGGAGGGGTCACACCTAACATTCACACAGTCACGAAAGGTACATTTCCAAGCTGATAATTAAGGTTTGAACAATGCAGTCCCTATAACTTTGCAGTTAAAAATGCCCTATGGCATTGCTTTGAAATTTAGGGAGAAATGTCATATTTCCTCAGTACATATGCAGTGTTGACATTCAAACTTTTTCAGCCACTGCAGGATACTTTAGCAGCACAGCTCCAAACTCAGACAATGCACTGTAATTCAGATTTCATTGATTCACTGCGCAATACACACGGCAAGGTTATGGGAAACTTTGAGATGACCATCTGCCTTACTCTGTGAAAGGTGCACCGAACGATGGCAACATTTCAAAAGAGGCAACAAAGCAGGCACAAATAAATCATGTTCTGCCTTATCTCCTATGAAACAGAAGATAACAGCTATTTGTTACACTGATGTACCACAGGGCACCCAGCTCATATGTCAGCAAAACAGAGAGCGAGCTTTCAGATAGAATCAAGGAAATCACAGATGCTGAATTTCTCTGAGGCCATTCTGTCCATCCCTTTCCTTCCGAAGGTAGATTACTTCCTATTTACGCAAGGGTTTTGCCTTTGCTGCTTTTATAGTGTGCAAACACGAACCTGCCACCATGGCGTTTGGGAAAACCAGGCCCTTTTCTAATACAGTTCACATACTGGCTTTGCCAAATGCATATCACTCGAAATCAGATAAAGGTCCTGTTGTGCTAGGCAGGGCTGTCACATCAACGGTTACAGTTCCTCAGCAAGGAAGACAGAAAAAAGATGGGAAAAAATATTGCCTTTCAACCCATTTTACAGCTGGAGACTGAAGTGTAGGAAAATGAAGACCCAGCTGCCAATGTGACTTTCAGCATTTCCAAGTGGCCTCAGGGCAGGGACCTAACTACCTCCTGGTGTCTCATGGGCTCTTCAGGAGTATTATTCACCATCCCAAGTTCCTTGTTGTCCTCCAGGACCACCTTGGTGAAAGGAGACAGGAACAGCTAAGCTCCTGGGCTAAGCCTAAGGTTTGGGAAAAAAAATGAGGCCACAGTGACTTGTATAAATAAGACCTAAAGACCAGGCAGGTATTGAACAAGATCCCTCATTCTTCCCAGTTCAAATAAAAAAAAAGTACTTTCAGTTGTTAATTAGCAAGTCCTTCCTGGTGTATCCCTACAGGATGCTATTTTGAACATCGTATTAACAGTTTCATGTTTCAGACTACAGATCCCTTACATATTTTACCTACATATGTTGCTGCTCTCTGATCTTATACACAGAAAACCAAACTCAAAACATAGAGTAATAACAATACTTATTGGTTGTACACCTTTTTACACCCACATATCTCCAGGGGATCTACCACACAAGATGATAACTGTCTTTAGCAAGGTCACTAACACGGCTGAAGCGTGAATTTCAGATTCCCAGGCTGTGTCTCTGTGTCTTTCTTTTTTTTTTTTTTTCCTAATGTCTTCTGAAAACTTCACAATCTCTGTTCTCCCAGAGGACAAAAAAGGCCGTTGTCCATTCTGATGGCAGCTATTTCTCTCCAGATCTAAGCATCTTTGAAAACAGCATAAAATATAGATTGCTTGCTAAGACAGGTGATATTTGACCTTAAACAGGGGCCAAGCAAAAAATCTTTGCTTTGATGGATACTATTTGCTTTCTGTGTACTCCCTTCTATTTTTCTAGATGCCCCAAAGCCATTTGGTAGATTTAGACTCTGAAAGAGAGGAGGATGAGAACTAAGGACTCTCAGAGGAGTGAGAGATGACAGACATCAACCACCTCATTCTTCTTTTTCCACAGGATGATGAATTTTGCCACCTGTGTTCATACAGATCTGGCCTTGCACGTGGTTGAAAATCCAAACTCCTTGTCCATTCAGCAGTAAAAATCACACATGGTGAAAGAATGGATGCAGAACAAACCCCTACCTTATTTCAGGCTAGAAACTTGTCTGTAAAGGATATTTGGACCCTTAATATCCTAAAAAGATGTGTAAATGGCATGGGGATGTTTGGCTTGCTTCAGAGCTGAGCGCAGGACCTCACAGGGCTGGTGAGAGGTTTAAAAGTCATTGAAGATCCCTGGCAAGGAAGAGAGATGCCCTTGTACCCTCCTTCCAGATCACTCTCATTCAAGTACACTTGCAGAATCTTTGTCAGCAAATTTATTTTTATTTTTCTTTAACTGCTACCTTTTATCAACAGGAGTGATGGATAATTATCAAGCTACATTTGAGAATTGTTAGGATTAAGCATGCAGTCCTGGTTAAACTCTATTTTCTCTTAAAAGCTTAAAAATGTTCAACAGAGGGCAACCAGGAATGTCTGTCAAAATATATTGTGTGATAAACATCCTAATGAGATCAATGCAGTTGTTTCTCTCCATGATAAGGACACTCCTACTCTACCAAACATAGATCATAGACTGTATTACACTAAAATCCACAGAGGTTAGGAAGAAGTCAATTGCTTCACCTAAATTTTTTGAGGTAAAATAGAATAAAAATACCCTTTCTTCAAGACATTATTTAAGGTTTGACATGTTTGGTTGCTCCCACATCCCTCTAGCTCACTTTAAAGCTTTGGAGGGAGGTTTTCCTCCCCAGTCAAACTAATTTCTCTGTCTCTGTCCCTAGTATGGTTATGCATGGAGACCTTATACCAGTCGATCCCTACTACACAGCCACCAATTACCAACAATTCCTGAAGCATCCCTTTCAAACGGTCACATGTAACACTGATTTATTGCAGTGCAGCACTTCTCCTGACCTCAGAGCTGGGTAGGTGCTTTTGCACGCCTACCAGACCACTTGCTGCGCTTGTCCCTGTGCAGCTCTTCTGTATGGCTCAGTGATGGAGAGAGAGTCCAGGGTAGGTCGAGCCCTGAGGGCAATGCATTCGAGGTAAAACTGCACCCTGGCTGACTGGGACCAGGGACATAGCAATGACCATGTGGTCTGCTCACTCAGCAAAACCACAATGTATGAAAGTGGTCATGAGAA